ATCTGTTTGAAGTCGGCCTTCACATATGTTTCGTCGTCCATGATGCAGCATTCAACTTTCGTCAGCATGTTGAGGTACAACTTCCTGGCACGGGTTTTGGCGGACTTGTTCTGCTTCTCGGCGCGATTAGGGGCCTTTTGTACCTTGAACGTTCGAAGCCCAGCCTTAGTTTTGGCCTTCTGGACAAAACTTCGGCTTAGGTGCAGCTTCTTAGCCACATCCCTAACGGAGGCGTTCGGATTTCGGTTGAAGGCCCCAACTACGCGGTTGTGATTTTTGGTGTTGTACGGAATACTTTTTCCCTCACTTCTGGGCTTCCGATCGGTGGTCAACCGTTCCTCGAACCGCTTAATCACTCGCGACACCGTGGAATTCGCGATTCCCAACGTTTTAGCGATGGAACGATGCGAGAGATCCTTGTTCGCGTGATGAATGCGCAAGATTTTATCACGCACGAGCTGTTCTTTCGACTCCATTTCCGCGAGTTTTGATCACAGGACTTTAAAACTTGCAGGATGTAAATAATGCACTACGAACTAAATCCACCCAAATTTTCATTAAATTCTACCCAACGGTTAAAAAGTTAGAGCAATTTCATAGTGTGGCAATTTCATCGTGGACACCCTTTAGTGATGTGATGAAGATCATTTCTTTCACTAGAAACTACTACTCTTGGCTGAACCGCCAGCCTTGCATCGAGCTGAAACCGCAAGCAAGGAAATCAATTGCCTCCTGGCTCGAATCCTTCGTTGTGAGTGGTTCCAATAGATACGCGCCCATTTTGCCTTTCAGGCAGCAGCACTTTTCAGGAAAAAAAAAAATACAAGCGTTCGTACAAAAAGTCTTTCGTTTCGAGATTCGCAATGTGACCCCTGATTCCTCACTTTCGACTGCAAAAAGTTATTTGCTCAATTGAGACAGATATAGGTTGACATGGACACAAATTAGATTATATCAAGATACCCAAAATGACGTTCTAATCTGAGATTCCTAGTTTTGAAAAATGTTGTTCTTTGTTACTGTAATTTGACGACCTTTTGATGTGTTATAGAGTTTATCAAGTTTTAGTATAATCATCTCAAAATCGCCTAATTTCAAGTTACCTAGTTGTAGCATTAAGGGGAAGTTTACCGGCCCGAAAATAAAAATTTAGTTTTGGCACGTTTTTATTTTTCTAAAAATATTGGGAAAAATTATCAAAAATCCAAGAAAATCAGTTTCTTCCTAAGATTCTTGACAAAAATTACATGTAATCATATTTTTTCATTCTTATCATGAAACAAATTGGACTCTCAGCAAATCTTTATACCATGATGACTTAAAAAAATATTGTTTTTACTTGAATTTTCCTTAGAAAATTAGAAAAAATGTGTATTTTTTTTAAATTTTTGATATTTTTTCCAGTATTTTTAGAAAAGTCAAAAAGTAATTATTTTTTTCGGAGCGATGAACTTCCCCTTAAGGGGACGAATTATGTCATTGAAAAAAATCGTCCAATGTAACATGGCCGAAGCACAACTATTTAAAACGTCCTATGTGATTTTTTTTCATACTGTTGCTCGCTCGGTTGCACGTTATTCAAAATAAAAGTGTGATTTTACCATCCCTACTGATTTTTCACCGTTATTATTCACGGCAAAAAATGTTTGCTAAACGTATTAAAACCGTTTAAAAAATAATTTGTCGGACTTCAACTTAGTTCTTCTCAATATGGCGGAAATGTAACATTGGTCCTTTTGAAAAAGTACTCGAGATTTCGTCAAACGCAGCAGACAGATGTGATATAGATGTGATAGCATCAACTTGTTGGCTGTTTTCAAGCCCACGAATTACAAAAGACATGTATTGCTCGAGATTTGTTGCAGTGGACCTCTTCCATGTTGTTCGGTTGCAACGTAACTGGAACAAGTGTGTTCAAAATAATCCAATACTATCAGCTCAAAAAGTTCTGAAACTGTGCACAAAGCTGCAATACCTCGATAGTTGATTACTGACTGCTTATCGTCTTTCTTGAAGACAGGAAAAACGGAAAACTCGCGTCTCTTTTCAAAAGAACCTAAATAACAAATGTAAACAAATCGAGTTAAGCGATACAAACTGTTGCTCTTCTATCATTGTATGTGATACATAAACATCCATCCAAATTTACTTTCATTTATTTAAGATAATCATAGGTAAAAAAATGTCCAATGTACAGTTTGAAATGATGTGTACTTGATTGTTACTTCGGTCATTCGGACCTGCCTAACATGATTGGTGCTCATTTTCTAAAGGTCAATCTAAAGTTAGGGAATCTAGTATCAAGTAGAACAAAACGTCCAATGTAACATTCATTGATTATGTACTTGAGAAAAATCGTCTAATGTAACATGTCCGATACATTAGACGATTTTTCTCAATTACATAATCAATGAGTGTCAAAACGTCTTATGTGGTTTTTTCTATGTTGTAGCATAAAATTCAAAGTAAAATTGTGATTTTACCGTTTCTACTGAATTTTCAACGTTCTTATTCACTGACTACATTAAAAATATTGTTTCTAAACAGTTAAAATAATAATCTGTCAAACTTCAACTTCGATTTTCTCAAAATGGTGGATATGTTACATTGGTCTATTTGAAAAGTGACGCAATGATTCATCCAACCATCAAGGAAGATTCCTGAATTTAACGAGAGGTTGAAGATAGATGCGACTGGTGCGCTCAGGACTCCTATACTTTTTTTTTATTATAGTCACTTTAACACTCTTGGGTCATTCGTGACTTGTCCGGGGGTGAGATTTGAACTGGTGACTTTGGCGTGAGAGGTAAGGATGTTAACCACTACGCCGGGGTCGCCCCCTAGGACTCCTATACAGTTTTGACGTAGGACTACGTCTGTGATTTCTATATGGGGGTACACTTTATGAAAACCAAAAATGGAACATGTAACAAAATTATGAAAGATTTCTACCGTCAATAACTCAGCTGCTCATAGATCAATTTCAATAATTTTATCACCAATCGATCAGATATATTTCTACGCATCTGTTACATTTAAGACTTTATCATTTTTCAAAATGTCACTATCGAAAATTGCACGAATGTGCAACTGTTGCTTTGATAGTTGAAATCATCACCGATTGCCTGCTAAAAGCGATTTCCCTAACACAGATTTCAAAGTTAAATTCCATCCGGTCGCACCAAACGGTGTTTATTCAATCACCCACAGCCCACATAAGCAGCCATAGAATAAGGATGAAGCCGCACCGCTATGTATCGGAATCAGTAGCTCTTCGTGAGTCGCTGTGGGCCATCTATGCCAAGCGCGTCACCCGCATTCCAAACAACATACAGCCCATCAGCCTCATCTGTGTTTAACACACTAATAGCTCACCATTACTCAACCATCACGACAAAACGGTTCTTTTCAGGATCACCATACATTTGTAAAAGAGTATTTTTGGACATTTGCCAAGGTCATCAATCGGATGTCAGTTCCCATATCAAGATAGAGCTGTAATTAGGGCGTAACAGCTTTTGTAAACAATGACTTCTTTCGATGATGTCTTGTTAGTCAAGGCTCACCCACGCAAATCAACATCACCATCAGGTAGGGTAAGACTTCCTCTACTCGACCGTAATGTTGGTTTGCGTGGGCGTGCCTTGAATTCCTAAAAATCACCGAAAGAAGTCATTGTTTACAAAAGCTGTTATGCCTAATTCCAGCTCTATCTAGATATGTTTAAATCTAACATACCATGTACTTTAAGGCAACATTGGGGGTGCGATTTTAAAAACCAAAGTTGGTCGTGGCATGAAACTGAAACTGATTTTGATCCAGAAATGATGGATTTTAATTCTTAATACGCCAATCGATAGGAATTTTTGCTACTAATCTGTTGAAATTAAAACTATCATTTTTCAAAATGCCACTATTGAAAATTTATCGGATGTGCAACTGTTCCTATGATAATTTAAACTTTCACCGATTGCCTGTGAAAATCTATTTCCCTAAAACAGATTTCAAAGTTGAATTCCTTCTGGTCTCACCAAACGGTGTATATTCAATCACCGCGTGGTGAGTGGTGGTGTTCTCCAGTACACAACGAAAGGCTGCCTGCAAGCAGCGAGCTGCAGCCCACATGAGCATCCATATAAAGAGTAAGAAGCCGCACCTCTATTGATCGGAATCAATAGCGGTGCGGCTTCGTGAGTTGCTGTGGTCCATCTATGTCAAACGCGTCATACTAAAGAGTATAAACTGAGATTCCTATTCCTACATAAAACACAAGCTCCGGCTGCAGTTAACAAATAAGATTTATTATATAAGACCACGTAGTCCTACGTCACCATTGCGTATAACCCCATAGGGCTGTCCCTTGTAGTTTTTAATCACCACAGAAGGAATTCCATCAGGCTTAATGCTGGAAGAATTTTGCAAGCAAAGACCTGCCCTTCGGACGTCATCTCTCGATAAAGGTGGATGAGATTCAACAGTTGAACGTCCGAGAACCTCACTTGCAGCGTTTGAAACGTGTTCGTCAGAAAGCTCCTCGTTGACGAGAACACTGCAGAAATGTGACCTGAATAAATCCGCGATACCATCCACATTAGACATTTATCGATCTCCGTTGGCCAACATTTCTATCCGTTTAGCTTCAAAGCTCTCCATCCATCACGGACCGCCGGCGTAGTCTGTGGCAGGAAATCGAGACCACGAGAATTTCACTTTTCACGGTTAGGTGAATTAGTCAAGGTTTTTCTTCATCGAGCGACGTCTCCGTCGTCGCTCTGTATATGTCTTTGATCCGCTTAGCTTCGATCGCGGTCTACATATGAATAAACATAGAAACTACACACGTTCATACTAGAAGACCTTTATCAACCGGTCTTCATATTTCTACTAAATACACACCCATCGACACGGAGTGGCGTAAGAACCATACGGGAGGCGATTGTCGCAAACTATTGTGAGTTGTGAACTTGTGACGTCCACCAGTGAGAGCTTCACCTTCTGCCAACCAGTTGCTCGGTAGCGGTTCAACGTCTTAGTACAGTATTGTTGTCGGCGCTGTGCGGTCACGTTTTCCCCTCTCTGCTTCCGTAGGAGATCCAAGTTGTGGTGCGCGCGTGTGAAATATCCCAGAGAAGAAGTTTCTCTATTTCTGTTCCGCCGTGCCGGGTCCAACCTGCTACTAGTGAGAAGATCGCAAATCGCGTGCAGTTCTGATTAATTGCGAAACCTACTCACGTTAGGTACGTGTGCGTGCATGTGTGAATTTTTGTATTGCATTGTGCGAGCTGAAAAATTCATTTCAGTGCAGCAAATCCAACTCTGACAGACGAATAGTTTTCCACGCCGACCCCCCATCCATAGAGTCGCGGAGCGATAGCTATAACAAGCGATTGTGTAATCAGCTGTTTACGAACTTGGCTTGAATTTGGTGCAAAGTGTAAGTTTAAAATTTAAAGTTCTTCTCCATCGACCCATTGCTTGCATAGTGGCCAAGTGTGATCTAGGCAGAAAAAAAAAGTACGAATTCGAACGTCCTTGGACTTCTTACATTACTACCGGTTCGAAGGTCTTCCTTCCACTCGATCCACTCTCAATGAGTGTAGACCATTTTCGTCGACCATTCAAGGTGCGTGTGTGCGATTGGAAGAGAAAGGAGGGAACCGAAAAACCACATACCGTTATAGTGCTACCTCTGCCCACAACCGGACACGGTACAAAGTACACTTTCAACGCTGAGAAGCGAGAAGACTGATGAATTCCACTGCGAGGTGCAATCGTAAATACCTAACTATAGCTAGGTTGCATTTTACGATTTACCTCTCTCGGTCCCAACGGGCATATCGAACAGCAACAACAACAACGACGAGGACTGGACGCCAGAGCTGAGCTTCGAGATTGAATGGGTGTTCAACAAAAGAGCCTATGAAATACAGATATGTAAACCGATGAAGGTGAACCACCTCCGATAGTTGTTTTTGTAGTTGGAAGTGTTTTGCCGATTAACGGGCTCTGGTTTTGCATTTCTTCCCCGTTGGAAGACCTTTTGTCAACACGCTACCTGCTATTGAAGTGCGACTGTGATCATCCGCTACCCACAGCACCCAATCTGATTAAGTGTTTGCCCTTTAACTGCCATTATCGTATCGGTTCGAAAATGGTGTGGAAATCGCTCAAAACAAAGTGGACAGTGATAGGTAAACAGGAAGGGGTTAAAATGACTCTATCGTATATAGTACAACCAGCAAACTATACCTAGCTAGTGAAGAAACTTGATTCTTTGTGAGTTCGATGCAAAGTGCACAAATAGCAAGTTAGATCTGTTGTTTGTATGTAAAACGTGCCTGAGCTATCCGTCGTCGTTGAACTGCGGTTGCAGAGTCTGGTAGTTAACCTCTGCCATTATCAATTATGGATTCTTGCTCGATATTGCAACTTTTTGTGCTTGATCGCTGAGTAAAGTATAGTTGATGTAAAACAATAAAGATTAATTGCTATATTGTGGCGGAATTTCACAGCAAAGTTTTCTGGGTTGGAATGTATGCAACTTTCCGTGGAACTAGGATTTGCCAAACACTTGTTCTTGCATGGGCAAAAAATCGACAACTCATTGTGAACGGATTGTTGAAGGTCTTCTTGGTACAAGGTTTACTGCCGCTCTTCACATGTCGGTCCTATACTCGTTTGTGTCAAAACTGAGTTTTTCATTGCAAATGGTAGTCCATATTTTCATAATAGCCGGATGAACTCAACAACTTTGTTCTGAAATTTTTTGGAAAGACAGTTAAATTGGTTGTCGCATCGCCATCACATAAGAAGCAACGGTACGAAGCAAACTTGAAACGCAATTTTCTCGGTTTGCGGAATTCCGCTATGGGACGGACATACGAAGAGCGGCAGCTTAGCTCTTTCTGAATCAATTTTCTGCGGTGGCTGTAAACGGCTCATACTTGTGAATTTGAAAATCTGGTCCAAAGTCCAAACGGCTGAACGATAACCATATATTGGTAAGCCCGAGAATATAGATTTTCCATGCCCTTGATCTTTGAATAGTGGATGTCCGAGCTCTGAGAGTGCGGATGTTCAGAGTCAGAGCTCTTATCATAATATTCAATATTTTATTTTTAAGTAGGGTAAGTGCGGCAGTTTTTGGCCCTAATAGTAGTACTTTAATAGGCGCTATCATAAATTTTACATTGTTTCATGCTTTACAAAATATATTTCGGTAGAAAATATATTATTCCATACATCTACGCCAATAAAACAATGACAATTAATTTAAAATATTATTCAAGAACTTCTTGCGCAGCTTAGAATAGAAAACTTCAAAATAAGTCTCAAAAATAAATATGTGATAAAGAAAAAAATATATTACGAGTTATCCGCTGTAAATTATAATTAGGTTTATTATGTTGATAGACGTAGCCTTTCCCTGAGAATACATAGAGAATTTAAAAAAAAAACATTATGTTGGATACCCTTCTTTCTTCTAATTCGCATTTCAAGCTTATTGCTTATTGCATATTTGCTTATTGCGTGCTCTCAACTTAGTGTTCTAGGTACACTTCCACAGTTATTAATTGAGAGCTTTCGATGTCTGTATTATTTTTGCATTAGTATTATTGTATGGCAAGCACAATCATACTCTATGCTCAGGAAAGTCGAGAAATTTTCCAACCCGTAAAATTCCTAGACCGGACCGGGAATCGAACCCAGCATGGTCTTGCTTTGTAGCTGCGCCTATACCGACTGAGCTAAGGGAGTTCCCATGTTTGATACCCACTTTTGTCGATTAAATGCCATAATGTAGCTAAAAAATCGCTGCAGAATTTTTTAAAAAACACAAAACAAGCCGTGTATTTTTTTTACTTTTGCCAAAGTTGCTATTATACATAAGTTTGTTTGTAACACCCTAAGCTATCATTTGGAGGGTAAGCCCCCAGGATGAGAAAATACTATTTTGGAACACCCTAGTGTGTAATCGATGCTGTCCTTCGGACTCTAATACCGACAATTTAAATTATAAAAATATTTTTAAAAAATCTGCAGCGGTAGAATCTGCAGTAGATCATTCTGGAGGGGGCAGGTACCCCTATTAGCTACGCCAATGGTAACAGGGAAGAAGCTTCAAAATCATCTCCAGAATTTTGTTCTGAATCCTTTGAAGAGCTTTTTTCCTGGTTGTGCAACAACTAGACCATATTGATATTAAATATTAGAAGTTTATTCTTCAGGCAGCGTTTGGATTTCCTGTTTATAAGAGGATACAAACATTTTATATACTTGTTACATTTGGCTTGAATGCCCTCAATATGATCTTTAAAAGTTATTTTTTCGTCAACTACTGGTGCAAGATATTTTAATTGAGTTGACCAAGGCATTGGAACTCCGTTGACTATGTGACTACTACTAGGTTTCAAAAAGAATGCTCTAGGCTTATTTGGGAATATTATAAGTTGAGTTTGCGTTGGGAGAAATCTTCCCCGCAGACTTCTTCCTTTCACAGAAATGCCGGTGTCTTACCACAATAAGGGGGACCTTTTCATTACTGGCATTAAGGCGGGAAAGTTTATTAGAATTTTTCTTGGATTATGGATCATCATCTGTGAGCATATCAAATTGATTGCTCAAATGAATTCCATCTGATAAGGGATCAAGAGATTAACCTTTTCTTTTGCATTTAGGCGCCATGGCAGCAGAACAAAGTTTCTCAAAATTGTATTCCAAGCAGATTACTATAAAAGTCCGAAGGATCGAAAAGGAAGTGCTGTTTGAATTTGTTGTAGCTTTAGGTAGAAAACACTTCCTTCTGCAAAAAGCAAATAGATCCGCACGGCAAGAGAGCACGATGCGGACTGAATATTCGTCAAAGTTGTTTCCGTCTGTGGAGTGCCACTAGCTTTCCAATTAAATGGCATAGTTCTGGTGGAAGCAGCCTGTAGATCCGATTGCAATATTAGAGGAACATGAAACATGATTATCAGGACTTTTTGTATTTATGAGTCCAAATGTGACAATGCTTCCGGGGAATGAAACGCAACTTTCTAGATCAACAACAACTGTCACAATTGATGTTTTCTCATTTTTTTTAATCATAACCGACATTGCCATAAAACGGTAATTGCCTAATGTCAATCAAAAGGGGTGAATTATTTAAATTATGACCATTGTAAAAAGCCCTATTAGGATGTTTTATTTAAAAAAATGTTATGAATTTCTGATAGGCCGATTCAAAACCCCAAAATAGGAGCCAGTACAAAAAAAATGATAACTATTGATGAAGGTTTAGAGGTCACGCCAATGATTTGAAGTTTGTATGGACATTTCGGTGAATTAGTATTTTGGAAATTATTGATTTTCACTTACATTGCTCTAGCTTTGCTTGTAGTTGTAAAAAAAATTAATTTGTGGTTGTCATGACAATGATCTACAAGTCTGTTGTTGTTGTGATGAAATTGGCGTCATTCAGCCATTTTTTTTTCGCATTTCTATCTTTTTTGATATGCTGTAAAACTGATCGTTACAACAATAGGCCTTTTGGTCATTACGATAACACGATAGCGACCAAAAATATTCATTAGTACCGTCCCAATGAGGCGTTCATCTAGATAAAATTGATAACTAGCAGATTTTTAGCGATGGGCCCAATCTTAGGGGAGTAAAGTCGTTGGCCCCCGGTTCATGGGTTGATGGGTCGATAGGTAGGGTCAAGGTGTGGGAGCTTCATTCCTGGCGTCGGTAGCATTGGTACTCAGTACGGAAAACAAGATCGACAGAAATCAAAACAACGTTTTCTTCAAAATCAGTCTTGATATAAGACAGCATTTGGCGTCCTTATTGCACATCTTGCCTGGATGTCCTTCACCAACAAACAGAAAAGAATACTCATCCTCCACCTCGAAGCCTTTGTGGCCACTAACGGCGAATATGTTTGTCGTCTTGGTCAGCGTCATTTTGGCATTTTTCTATGCGAAGTGGGCTTTTCGCTGGGCTCCGATATTATCATCAATTCAGCATGAGGCAATGATTTTCCATAAATCTGTGTTTAAAAACCAACGCAACACGTTTTACAGCGCTGTATTTGTGTAATATGGAAATAATCATTTCAAATTTGACTCAAAATCATCCTCACCAAGATGAAGATGAAAATAGATATTGACAACAACACAGGCGATAATAAACATCCAGCCACGAATGAACAAAAACAAATGTTGACTTCGATGACTTCGATACTCAGAGGTTGCCTTGAGCAAGAGAATGTGTTGATGTCAAAATTTAAATTCATGCAGGTAATTAGTCTATCTGTTATCTGTCTTCATTTTCAGCTAAGTTGGAATGAATGATTTTTCTCAGCACGGGTAACGGGTCTTAATTCACATTTTATTTTCTAAAATTCAGCCATTTTGAAAATTTTAAAATATTCAAAATGGCGTCCTTGAAATTAAAAAAAAATGTAGCACGGAAACGGCATTTCTGAGCGAAATGACGGCTGACTTTATGACTTTTATGTAAAGTTATTAAAAATGTCTCAAACATTGATTTCTGAGTATAAATAACGAAAAAATGTTATCAAAACTTACGATTTTTGTCAATTTTTAAGTGTCCATAATTTTAAACAGCCCAGTTTTTCATGAGCGTTTAGAAAAAAAAACTAAAATATCTTGTAAGTTTATTTAGGTTTTTTACAAATTAAAAAAAATATTTGAAATAACTAAAATATTCCAGATAAACATATTTTTTCTCTACAATGTTGTCAAGTTTAAAAATGTTATAAATGTACTTTTGTTATTGAATTTTTTAACGGTTTTTTGTTTTTCATATTTTGACGAAAATAAGTGATTTATTTTTCAGTGTGTATTTTTAACGTAGGACTACGTCTTTAATTTATATACTGGGGGTCACATTAAAAAATCCAAATTCAGACATGTGATGAAAAATCCCTGGGGCTCCCTTAGCTCAGTCGGTAAAGGCGCAGCTATAAAGCAAGACCATGCTGGAGGTGGCTGGGTTCGATTCCCGGTCTAGGAATTTTTTGGGTTGGAAAATTTCTCGACTTTCCTGGGCATAGAAGTATGATTGGACTTACCACACAATTATACCAATGCAAAAATGGTACAGGCATCGAAAGCTCTCAATTAATAACTGTGGAAGTGCATCTAGAACACTAAGTTGAGAGCACGCAATAAGCTAGTATGCGATATGCAATAAGCTTTAAATGCGAAGAAGAAAAAGAAGATGAAAAATCACCAACACGGACGCAACGATAGAGCGCAAATCGAACAAACGGCACATTGCGCATGCTCACATGAGCGAGCTCAATGCTCAGTTGACCGCTCACCATTTCACAAATGAAAGGAAGGGATGAGAAAAGCAGCGATAGTAAAAACGCTTGCCAAATCGTTTTCTTCGTCATTTGCTTTCGAGCAACGGACGGATAAGCGTCGGACATGACGTATGAGTAGAACAGCACGCATCGCACCAATACGAAGACGACGACGAAAGCACCCACATCGACTGGAGGAAAGGCTTCCCGCATAAGGCAGCAGGACTAGGCCGCCGTCATCCGGTCGGCATCGACTTGCACTGGTGTGGCCACCATTTCAAAAACAACCGGCCCTTTTCAAGGCCACCAATTCAAAATCGGAAAGAGTTAAGAACTAAATGATTAACATTGTTGTTCCGTCAACTAGCGGTCCTACGTCAAGCTTCTGTTCGTGCCCCTAGGCACAGACCCTTCTACTTTTTTCTGTAACGGTAATCCAGTTTCCTGCAACTTTGTCCCAACCGTCATTGCGATTATATGAGCCGTAATATCGAATACGTCATTTTGAAAAATTATTCATGCGTAAAATGGCCGAATTCCAGCACAAACCTTGGTTTATTGTCCCTACGCCTCTACTGTGTTACCTGACTTATAACGAATATACGTTGTATATTAGTACCCCGAATACAACGAATAGTTCGTCTAATTTTACATTGCAAATGCTATGCTAAATTAGACGAGTCATACGTTGTATACGTTGTGTACGAATACCCCGATCGTATACAACGTATATTCGTTATAAGTCAGGTAACACAGTAGCGAAAATGCAATGTTTCATGTAATTTTGACAGGCAAAATCTAAAATTTGTTGATTTTCTCGCTGTTTGGCCTGGAACTGGTCAGTGTCAGTGTCACAGGAAAAAAATCTGAATTTTAACCATCGTCTAAATTTTTCCTCGTTTAATTTTGAGCTTAAGTTGGCATAATCTTCGAAATTGTGTGCAAGCTTGTATACAACATTGCTGATTTATGCGATATAGCGCTTAAATTTACATTAAATGTCGTGTAAATTTACGCCAAATATAGCTATGTGCGCTAGATACCACAGAATTTTACATTAATTTTTCAAACGGTGTGGATGAGGCCAGATCCTGAGCATCTTTTGTAAGGAAATCGGTCATAGTCGACCAGATATTACAAATTTAGTGAGAAGCAGCCCTCTATTGATCACCCAGCAAAAATTAGGTTGTAAAGATTGACGATAATATTGACGAAACTTCTGCCGTGTGGGGTGCACTTAGGGTTATATAAGAAAATAACTGAGCAGTCCTACATTGTTGGATGTAAATAAAACAGCAAACACCCTACGAACGGTTTGTTTACGCTATCATTAATTATCTGAGTGATGTTGATTTAAAACTACAAATCAGGAAAAACATCCACCCCTCAAAAGTATAACGTAAATTAACAAATAACACCTGCAAAGCAGCACGGGAAAGAAATGTAGGGTAGATGTACCTGTCATGACTATACGTTCCTACTATCATGGGATATGGAATTCCATCATAGAATCGTATAGACATTACTGTTGAAAATAGCACACAATGCATCCGGATCTGATACGTTACGGTATATCTGACCGTTATGTTATGTTCGTACTACAGAGAATTAACCTACCATACATTCCTCTTCTTGGTGCGGTGGAATAGTTAATTTGCATTTACGACCTTTTATTCGCGAGAAAAATCGCCCTTTCGATGAGAAAATGTATGGTTGTAAGCAAACTTTGTGATTCGTGGAAGTTTTAAGAAAACAAACGACGTGATTGGTGCTTGCTCTAAAAATGTGTGCGTATACAATCATTCCATAGTATGTGTGAGCACAGACTTGGACAAGGATATAAAACAAACAAAAACAGAAACTTGTTGATTGTCAAGGTCGTTTCAATTCATCAATTTCATTCGTATAGTAGGTTATTCGATACACGATACGATTTTCAATTCACTTTTTTTTTGCAGCTACCCATAGGCCATGGTCATCGGAGTTCACCCCGAAGGCTTGTGTGTGCGCCGCGAAATGATTCCTACAGCTAGCCTTTAGCCGTGAAATTATAGTTTGAGGCCATTTGCACAGGCTGCTACTGCGCCGTAGCTCTCATGTGGCCACGATGGTGGTCAAGGTTATCGCAGCGAATATCGTATTTAGCGAACTGAAGTTACATGGATTTTCTTTTAGCAGGAATTAACACGTTTTGAACAATTGAAAACGAAAAATAAATTTAAAAAAAAAAACATGTGCGTGTGTATATCTCTAGAAGTCGAGGAAGCAGGTTGTTTATGAAAGTGTAGCACGAGTTACAAGTTCAACAGTTCTCACGTGCCATTGTCCGGTCTTATCAACGAGCGTGGCTGTTTACAGTTGCACTTCCTCAACTTAAAGACGTTACGGCCAGTCAGAGCACTCATTGAATGATTTCTTTACCATTGGACTGCTCGGTTGAACTGAATGGATCTCAAGCTGTATTTCGCTGACAGTCATGTTTGAACATTCATCATTGTTCTCCTAAATGAAATGCTTGTCCCACATCATCAAAGCTGTTACAGCTTGTAATCATACCCAATTACGTGTATCTAGTCATAATCCATCCATTGTAAATATTTCCACGTTGTTGATTATACACGACGCGTGGCGACAAAAATATCACTGGTGCCTTTATAATGTCGTCCCTTCCTGAATTCCATCTCCTCACACTTCGCACAATCTTATCAGTTCGGTACGCAACGATTACGAATTTTCGACAATGCCAAATTTCTTTTATCACCAGCCACATCATCACCTTCAGTCGCCATTCCGTGTGACCTAATTCGATCTAATTTTAATTTTTTTCCGTATCTTCCTTTCAGAGATTCTGGCGTAAAACCCGCGCAGTGGATTTAGTGATAAGCCCGAACAGTGAACGTCAACAATCAGGTGAAGAATTGCGCCTGAAACGCCCGGTGCGGTGTGTGAGCTCTGTTGCCGCTCGGAACACATAGTTTGACATTTGCTGTGGATGCCACCGGTTGAACAAAAGTGACACAGTGTAGTATTGTGCTGAGTGCTGAAAGACAGTGTTGGTGATCAAGTGATCTTGAGAAGCGATTGGTTTGAAAACGGTGTGGTAAATAGTGCGTTGAAAACGGCTAGGCGCCATGGCTGAAGCCCATTCAGCTGTTGCATTCTCCTTCTCCATCACTCACGAAGGATGGTACCTGAACTACGACCGCGAAGTGCTGCACCTGGTGTGGCAGTCCGGCATCCGATCGTGGAAGAAACGATTGGCACGGTTTAGGGTAAGTGTGTCTCAACTTGTACAGTTTAAAACCTAAGGCGCCTCGCAATTTTATGAATCGTAGAAATTATAAATCCTGTGTGTTTAGAAGCCACCGTGTTGTGCTACAATAGTGCCAGGATTTTTTCTAGGGCTGGTAGCAGTTTACTGTTTTAAGGCGGTCACTTAAAAGCCACTTGCCCTAGGACACTGGAAAATTTGTTATTTTATTAAATGTGTTTTTTTGTTACTTCATAACGATTTTCAGAGTTGGGAGGAAATGCTATACTGATATCAACATGAAGCTTTAGTGCGATAATTTATTAGCTAGATTGATCCGCTAGAGTACGGCAGTGTGAAAATTGAACAGATGTTGAAATTGAGCGAAGGGTGACAATACTTATCAATCATGTTATTCTTGAAGTTGGAAAACATTATTTTAGAGTAAAGATATATTTAGGGAGATTTTCAAAGAATGTTTAGAGAATTTTTTTTCAAATCGCTAATGATATTTAGTCACCATAATAGATTCCACTCGAAATAAAGAGAAGGTCAGATTTTTACAATACGTTTCCGCTTGTGTTTGGCTTTTAAAAACCTCAAACCCTGTTTAGTATTATTCATAGACTATTTTTTTTTTAATTCAACAAGTTCAGATTGTTTTCCTATAACATCATCATCTACAATTTTATCAAAAATTGGAATCTATTAAGGTGAAGTAAAGGCGCGAGGAGTGGGTGGGACAGGTGGGACATGTCCGGCGTACAAAAATACCTGGGTGGGACAATCAAAGAGAACATAATTAAACACCTGAATTAATACTCCAATGATAAAATCTGACCCTTTTAGAAATTCCGATTAAGAGGCAACTTTCAGTCAGCCTCAGTGTCATCAATGATGATCTTCAAAAAGTCACCAGCAAGTTTCGATGACTTTTACATCATAAACACAAAGCTTGTAATAAATCTCATCGCCAAATTTAGGATACAGGATTTGAACTGTTCTCACAACATCATCAAAAAAATCCACTTTGACAATTTAATAAGTTTTACTCGATTCATTCCGAAAATTGTTCAAAAACTGCTTATTTGAATGAATTTGAATGAGTGAATTTCATTTAGTGATGATAATCTTTCAGCAGTCGCGTTAAAAAAAAGTTACACGGGCTGTCGCTTCATGTACTGAGTACACAGCGAACAATTAGATAGAACGGCTCAGTCTTCAGCAAAGTTGCTCATCTGGACAATATCCGTCTGGCAGTGGATAGTTAAGTTAAGAATTGATACACTAGGTGGCGCAGGGGTACAAATAAAGTTCTTCCATTGATAACTTAGAATCGAGATCAGATAGAAGTTTCATTTCTTCAGCAAAGTTGTTCAAATGGGCAATACCCGTTCTGTAATGAACAGTTTAGTTGGGAATTGACTCACAAGGCAGCGAGAGAGTACAAATAAAGTTCTTTTAGAGATAACTCAGATTGAAGACCAGATAGAAGTGTCCTGTCTTCAGCAAAGTTGTCCCAAATGGATGAGAACCGTTCTGTAATAAACAGTTTAGTTGGGAATTTTCTCACTAGGTGGACCCGTTCAGCAGCGAAGAGTTTAATTGGGAATTTACCGAGAGTGATAGAGAGAGTGATGTAGAATTCTTCTTTTGATGATAAATCAGGGGCAATTTTTTCAGATTGATTTTGTTTGCCTTCAGCAAAGTTGTTTTTCTGGATAAGATCATTAAGGCAGTTAACAGTTTAGTTGCGAATTGATTTGTAATTCTTTTAGTAATAATTCAGAATCGTGGCGTCGCGTAACCTCACTTTTTACCTGTGCACCAACTTACAAAAACAGAATTAATGCCATATTCATACTCGAATCGGTTGAAAAACACACTTAATATTCTAGTTAACTCGATATCTATCCATTGCACAGGTAGATTGAGGTTAAGTCGACGCCACTGTCGTGACCCGATGGACGTTTTCTGGCATTGAAAGTTATTCAAATAACCAAGATCCGTTCGGTAGTGTTCAGTTTAGTTTGGAATTAACTCCTTAGTACAAAAATTGTTCATCTTGGGATCGACATCAGATAGAAGATTCCTAGGAATCCGAGATCACGGTTGACGAACTGTTGGCTTATACCAAAACTTCCAAAAATATGAAGGCCCCAGGTTTCGACCGAGGGGGACGACTCTATCTACGATGCAGAAAAGATTGTGTTTTGCTGTGGCTAGCTGTGCGCACGCTGAGTAGATAGAAAGAAGATTGATGATGATTCTGAAGATTTCCTGCAAAAAGATGATGCGCGATGCAAGTAGATGCGAGAAATGAAAGAAGATTTTTCGAAAATTGATTCGCTAGTGTGAGATTTGTTGAGCATCTAGACTTGAGATTTAGATGTGTCGCCTCCCTCGGTTTCGACAACATTCTGAATCTGGAGCTCAAGCACTTGAGTTCCAGATTCTACAACCATCTGGCACTGATTTTCAGTGCCTCTCCGACTTGGCTACTTCCCCTTGTGCTGGATTGAATGGGCATTCGGAAACCTGGGAAGTTCCTTCAAGTTACCGACCCATCAGCCTTCTCTCAGAGTTATCCAAGCTATTCGAAAGGGCAGTTTACAGCCGGCTTCTAACATCTGCCGAAGAAAACAACATCTTACTCGAGGAGCAGTTTTGTTTTCGAAAAGGTCGAACAACCGTCCACTAACTGACCCGAGTAGCAAACATTCTTAGACGGAAAAAGGCTGTTTCAAAAACATCTGCTATGGCATTGATAGACGTTAAAAAAGCGTTTGACAATGTCTGGCATGATAGCCTGGTGTACAAGTTGCATCGATACGGTCTTCCGATCTCATGAAGATCATACAAAATTATCTATCGGACAAGACGTCCCAGGTCTCTCTGAATGGCATCACATCGGTGCAGGTGTGCCCCACGGAAGTTTCCTTGTGCCCATCCTGTTCAATCTAATCATCTCCGATATTCCGGCTCTCCCTGATGGTGGATCGTTGTCTATGTTCGCAGACGACGCATCCATCGTCTACAAGGGTAGGATCATTGGAGCTCTGACTACCAAACTCCAGAGAGGCTTGGATGTCCTGTCTGAGTATTTCAACAGCTGGAAGATTCGTATCAACGTAGCGAAGACCCAGGGCATAATTTTTCCACACTCAAAATCTCCCAGACTTGTTCCGTCTGAGAATAACAAAATCTGCCTAAACGGCACAGTGGTGGAGTGGTCCAAAGAGGTAGTCCACCTCGGACTAACACTCGACAGCAAGCTGATTTTCAGGGAGCTTGTTGACAAAACAAAAACAAAATGCAACATCTTGATAAGGTTGTTGTACCGGCTAATCAATAGGAGATCCACTCTATCCCTGAAAAACAAGCTTACTGTCTACAAGCAAATAATATTGCCCGTCATAGAGTATGGGTTGCCAATCTGGAAGAGTTGCGCACATTCTCATCACCTCAAACTACAGAATAAGATCCTAAGGATGATCCTCAACAGTCCACCGCGTACTGAAAATTCTGAGGTCCACCGTCCATCGGCTAGTCATCAGACCTTGGCGTTACGGAGAACTGCTACCATCAAAAGGTTCAGAGATTGCTGCATGCGATTCGATCAACCGATCATTAGGGTTCTGGCACGTTAGGTCAGACAACTACACACTTAGAAAAAAATCATGTAAATTTAGGTGCTCTGAGACTGACATATACGAGCGTCAATTTTGACATAAAATTGAGCTATAACAGACGCGAAATTGAACTCAATCAAACGTACTTTTCGTCGAGTAACGAACTTTTCAGTCTCGAAGCACCTAATTTTACATGAAATATTTGTTTACGTCTGATCCTTTATGTCAACGATGGATTCCGTCACGTGTAAAATTAGTAGTGGCAGGATGCTTGATCAGGCCTAAACAGAGTTGATCCTTTGTGCTTCCTTATGAATGGCAAGAGATGCTTCTTAAGACACTCTTCAGTGTAAATCGCACCGTTGGTTGTTCCAGAAGTGATGAAGGGAGCGCTTATTTCACCACATCCGCAGATCGCCTGCCAGATCAGAAACTGCTTTGCAAATTTCGATGATTTCTTCTTTCGACCATCCTCCGGAACATCGAACTTAGACTTGGCAACGAAATATCCTTGCCCAGGAAGTTGACGGAAGTCGGCCTTGACGTAAGTTTCGTCATCCATCACGATGCTACTTCGTGTTTGGTGTTTCGCAGTGATGTTTTGCTTTTCATTCTGGTTTGGAGCTTTTTACACCTTGTAAACATGTAACCCAGCACGCTTCATGGTTTTCGTCACAAAACCGACTGTTTAGCGACACCTCGAATCGACATATTTGGACGGTTCTTGAACTGTTGCACCACTTTCCTGGCCATTTTACTGTCCATTGGACCACTTTACGACCACTCCATTCCTTCCTTCGGGCACTCAGACGCTACTTGCAGGTTCTTATCACATGAGACAAAGTTGTATTTGCAATCCATAGGATTTACTAAAATTTTCAGGTTTTTTGCTCATTCGATTGAAAAGATACAGAAGATTTTCGTTGTGCTATTTTTATCGATTACACTCTTTAGTTTAGATCAGAATTGACTCATTAGGTCAAGCCACAGTTCACATAGAGTTCTTGTAATAATAACGTAGGATCGGACAAAATCAAAGCTTCTTTTCATCAGCAACGTTGATAAGTTGACATGGATAAGACCATTTTGGTAAAATGTTGATTTTTATTTATCTGATGCTCTTAATCCGACTTAAGGTTCCTACCTTGGACAAAGTTGTTTAACTGGACTAGATCCATGCAACAGCGAAGTGTTTATTTTAGACTAGATTCTCTGCTAGTAGATAAATTATATTCTAAAATTGCAATTTTACGCCTTTGCTCGTTAGATTCGTTGACGTGACTAAATGCCCAACAAACAATTTGAGTTAATCAACTGCAGAATAAGCATTTTTTTTTTACCTGAAGAAGCTTATTTTTGCTAGAATGTTCAATGTTTGTTGGGTGGAGCG